TAATCATTACATCATGCAGGAAAATGAGACCGCTGATACAGTAGATGCTTACATATTTTTTTTTTAAATATATTGGTACATCTGATGAAAAGGTGTGGCTCTAAGCTAATGTAAGAACATGATCCTTTCCTGCGTTTTTGTTGTTATGTTGTGATGCAAACTAAATGAATGCATCCGGAAGTATAATTAAAGTGCAATTACTTAAGACAATGATAAAGTGAACAAATGTCTATATAGTACATTCAATTTGTTTATATAAGCTGTGGATATACACTCGTTATATTTTTGAAACAAAAATAGACCTCACTTCCGGAAACTTTGCAATACCGATGTCATATGAAAGATAAGATAAGACCCAAAAAGGATTGTAACTCCCGGATATAAATTAGGCACGAAATGCGTCAGAAGCGACTGTATATTTCATGATTTCTCTACAAAGAGCTTTTTAACATTTAAGTAATGGTTTCAGAGCACAATTACTGTATACTACGGCAAAGGAAGTAGCGCTAAATGTGAAATTATGTGTTATGTAAACAAAGTAGTATTAGGACTTCAATACAAAATACTAAATCACTATACATGCAAGTGCACTGATTGCCAAAAGGTAACAGAAGCAAAAGATGGTCCAGTTAATTTCCAACGAGTTACCTTTTTAAAACTATAACGGGACACCAAAAACTAAAAAGTTTAATTTTGAGAAATAAAGGTTAAACCTTTTTTATCCGATACTTTTGTTATTAAATTTATTATGTAAGATTAATCGTACGATTGTTCATACTTTTAAAGATAAACAAGATAGAACAAAGATCAACAAGGCAAGTCGACGCTCACATCCCCTCGACACAACCCAGCGACACCAACTGGGCACCCAGAAGGCACCGAACCAAAAAGGGGAGGGGACACAAAGAAGGTGAAAGTATAAGAGGGGCATGTAATAAGTGAAATGTTAAGAACTAATTATTTGGGTATATTTTTATTATTATTGTTATTTATTATTGTTAGAGGATGGGATGAGGAGTTCATAAAATATATCAGATAATAATATAAAAATTAGTGAAGATATTACTGAAATGTAGATTGAAATTTCACTAATGAAGCATTAGTGTAACAGTGTTTCTATTGTTTGTGCTAATTACATGCACACGCTGATGTTCCTTTTCTTTCAAGCGTTTATATAATTAGACACAAGTGCCAAATAATCAGATACAACTGCTGAATAAGATATTAATTAGTTTGTTTACTGTTCAATTACAATCAATCTGTTTTATCACGTTTGTTTATTGGATGATTGATAAAGGTAAAAAATATAAAAGGGATTCAATTTTAAAATTACCTGAATGCCAATCAGTGGTTCTAGTACTCTACCTCTAATTTCCTACATGTCTGAAGGTGGGACGGAGGCCTTAGGTCATTCCTTACCAGTAAAGCTGCAAGTTTACCGTATATCCGTTAAAGTGCTAGTCTGACTTAAAGCCAAACAAATAAAACACATGTATACATGTATAAAATTAAATTTCTGTCTAAGGAAGGGCATCACCATTTAGCAAATGACAGATCCTTTCAAATGGCAATCAAAGTCATGCCAAATACCTTTTCTTTATACAAAACTTACTTTATTTCATAAACATATACTGGATACAAACATTGATTGTGACATACATATAAGATAATGAGTACATACTTAGCAATAGACATTTGCGGCTTATAATGAGCAACGGGGATTGGGGATCGAGGACAAGTTATACAAAGGGATAATCTCAAAATAACCTAACATTTTATAATAAACACGGTTTCTAAGTAACGGATAACACAAGCATTGCAAGCGATAATTTGTGTTTGTATTACGTTATATTGTCCTGAATTATATTATTCCTGTGGCTCTACTTTTTTGATGTCCCATCAATAGTCCTGACCGCCATATTTACTCGCATTTGTTTAATGAGTATTTCAAATAAAAACATGAAATTAAAGCCCCGATACACTTATACCTTAACGTAACTCGAATAACTTGTATCTATGTGTGCATTTGAAATACATTTTTGCCACTTCAGTGAGAATTGTGGTGGGACTATAAGCAAGCAAAAATCCTACCGAAATACATGAACCAGATATAAGGTAAGCATGATTAGGAGAAACGATAAAACTACATAAGTATTTACATCATTAATCAGTTACTCTAGATCTGCGCCATTCTTAATATATTTTGACATCGTGTAAAAAATAGCTTACAAACCCTGGGTAAATTGCAATAAAATTCATCATTGTTTTTTTTTACTGACGCATTATCCTGATGTATTTTCAATATTCCATATTTAATTTATATCATCCATAAGGCTTTTAGTAGACAGTCTTCTTCGACTGAAGAATGTTATAAGTTCAAGCCAGGTGATACCAAATACATGAAAAATGGTACTGACAGCTCCTCGTTTGGCGCTCATATTTGAAACAGCATTGAATAATGTTTAATATATCGAAGGCAAGCAATACCCCACTGATGTCTGATGTGGGAAATAAGATCGTGCACTTTAGATCCTACAATAGACGGACTATCAGTATATGACTAAAACAGTGTTGAAATATCTGGAAAAAAGTAATCCCTCGGAAGCATTAAAAACAGCAAAAGAAATCATGAAAATACAGACTCGGTTTGATTGGGTTGTACATGATGGATAATAAAAAGTGCAACAACACTCACGCCCCCTAGCACCGGCTTAAGCGGGACTCAAATCTCAACACTTAAAAGTGCTGGACTCAATTATCTTAAAGGAAAAATATAGCAACACTGAAGTGAAGTACGGGGCACCTCTTTACGGCTGCTACACGGCACTTGACACCAGTTGCTTTGATGTATATCTCCGATTCAGTAACTCACTCCTTTTCAATTTCACATTTCAATATTTTCAAAATATTGCCAGCGCTTAAGGCCGTACAACGTCTTGAAAGACGTCTTTTGAGTTAAGAATTTAGTGCCGAAACAAAACACATTTAGGTGCAGTTCCTATGGAAAAACCGGGCATCTAAACCAAGGGCAAGCTTAAGCGGCTCACATGCAGCAGTCATTGCTAGGCCAAGCTTCGATTAATCTTAACAGATGTATGATGACGGCCAACATGGACAGTTGACCAGCAGCTTCGCTCGGGCCTAGTCTCGAGACAACTCGAGCCCGGACCAGTCCCATGTGAACTGCACAATCGAGGCCGTAGTCAAGACGTAGTCAAGACGTCAAGATATCCGTGCTCAAGTTGTCAAACGTATTGCCATCATCAAAGGACGAACCTATTGATGTACGTTAGTGCACTAGACAAAACAACCGTCAACGCCAATGACTACTGGCTGAGATAATGAGAAAAGTTCCGAATCTATTTAGGGAACTTGGATTCAGTTCGTCTTGCAATTACTAAAATGAAAATTAAGATGTTAGGAAAGAAATACAGTAAGATATCCTGGCTTTATTTCAATGTTCATATTATGTGTTGAGATGACCCCTCAATATTAACGTAACTGTTCCTCGATAATCGTTCCCGACTGTCTATTACCAGCTCTTCAAGGTACTCAATACTTAAGATTACCGTTTGGAATATCGAGATATAACACAAAGTATTATTGCTTTTGAGGAAAAGAAATATAAATATTGAAGGGGCTATATCAAGATGAACAACGTTGAGTAAAGTTCCTAAAGATGCAAAAATCATGACCACAATAGTAGTTTTCAAACACAATGTCCAAGGGTGTGGTAGCAAAACTTTTTTTTTTACAAATTTGCGAAATGTTTAGTGTTAAATTCGTGAACTATAACTTGGAATATTTAACGACGATTTTTACAAACTCGACGGGGCAGGCTCGGTACTCCAGGTAGTCCAATTTTGGTATTTTAACACTGGAATCCCTAAGTCTTTGAGTAGACTGTGCTCAATTCAAAGGTACTGCTTCCGAGGCTTAGGCCACTGCTCTTTTCAACAAATTACTTTGCAACTACTTACCGGCGCCCTTTGATGCTTTTTACCAATAGTTTTTTCTCTTTATCAGTTAGTTTAATGTGATATTTTCTAAAACGTATATGTTTTCAACGCATTGGTTGTTCTGGCTTTGTGGCATATCAAAACTATATGCTGCCACACGGTCGAAATTTTAGTGAACATTTCAACTGCTAAGATAATTAGAACTGTAGTGTACGATATAGCTGTAATTATAAGCAGCTAAACAAGTATGTATTATATAGTGCTACAAAAGTGACATGTTATGTTTATAATTGATAGTAGCTACATTAATTATAAAATAATAGTGTTGCTCGAAATAAACGAATGAATGAGATCTATGAATTTGGCAAACAAATGGTGACTGATAAGGTACGTATTGAGTATGATTCAAAAGAGAGTTTTGCAATGTATATTACTATAGTGAATATTATTTAGCTTTTGATTTGTTTTAGTTTACTTTTCTACACAATTTGGAAGGGATGTTTAAGATTTGTTATTTAGAAAGAAATTCTACAGTAATTCTAAAAAAAATCGGAAACTATACATGTATATTATTCATATATCATTTAAACCTCAGTGGAGTCTCTATAACGTTATTTATTTTATTGAATATACATGTATGTCATAATCGATCAGTTTAATCGTTATAAAAAATGACAAATTAATAATTGTTTTATAAGACCCTTGGGATAAAAAATCAGCCTTGACAATTTATCAACTTGAATATTGTATTAATCATTAAATGGCTTTAACACAAATAGCATGAACAAACATGTTGTGTAAATAGTTAATTATGAGGAGTTATCATACTTAAATGTCATAGAAAAGATGAAAGAGTAGAACAGAAATGGAACACATTACTGAGGACTTTATACGACCGATCAGTCAGCTTGCAAACATTTAACAGCCGGAAGCCGACACGGGTTAGGTATGTGCAATGTTTGGTGTTGACCGAGGGCTTTAAGGCTCTAATGTTGTGCTATTTCTTATATTTACTGCGTTTTACTGGATGGAACATAATGGCAAATCTTCTATGAGTAAACAAGTCATATTAATGTAAAAACTGTGCAAAAATCTTCCTCGCATATAATACATCAATAACTTTTAGCGGCCCAATAAAAACGTAATAGTGTTAGCTCAGGCAGAACTTTACTTGTTTGGTCGGACCACTGACGTCACGGGCGTTATTATATAATTTATAGTTCCGGAACAGACTAATGAGCGGTGTAGCAATCTGGAATTATCAAAAGTGTTATTATTACACACCGCTCATATCATTTACAGTGGATAAATAAACAAACTGCTACAGGTGTACGCAGTGCGCGCGCAGACGAAACTTCAATCCAGTGTTACCTCTCATTTTGAACAGTCTTGAATGAAACAATACAATAAATGCGCGTTTGAGATGAATGAAGTTATTGTTATTTTCTCTGTCAGCAAAATGTTAAATACGTAAATTCCATTGGATTTTTAACAGTTATTGGTTTTATTTGTACATATTAAGTAAAATATCAACAAAGTGGATTTATACTTGATTCTAAGAGCACAATTGCAGTAAGGCTTGTTTTGCTATTGGTAATTTTTACTGCATTTTTTATTCATTTATTTATTCTATTTGTTATTCATTTTTTTACTTTTTTGTTGATAATTATTATAACAAAACAAGAATGTTCATTAACATTTTAAGAATAACAATCGCATATGTTCACTGTTGCATTAAAATGCACGAAGTATACAAATTTCGTAATGAAAATGGTTATGTTTTAACAGTACTATGTTAAATATACGTGCAAAATGTCATAATCATGTTTTAGAACGGAAAACAAAAAAAATGGTATCAGTGATTACGGTACAAATATCTAGAATATATCATAAGATATAAACTGTTTAATTCAAATGTATATATTCATATACTCGTAACAATGTGTGACTATTCGATGTATACTTTAAAGTATATGAATACTTTTTTTAATGTCTATGTTTATGCTATTTTCATTTTATCCTCAAATGCTGCATTTGATTTGTAATTAACAAAATTAATATGGTATGCATTTTATTACCACCCATGTCACCTATTCATGCACATTTGTAAAGATGTTTGTTTGATATTTTGTTATTTTCACTGTATAACATTGTATCATTAAGTAAAACGCTTAAATGTGGGAAGAGTTCATTTCATATTATTTATATACAAATGGTTATTTTGTTAACAGGTAAATGTTATAAAATAAATCAAGTTTGGTAGTTATCCACAGTGATTTTAGGGAAGAAAGCTTGTTTGTATGTTCTATCCAATAAAGTTCATATTAAAGCATTATGCCTGCAAATTCATGCTAATTTTCATAAATGCTTTTTAAATGTTTAAAAAGGTAAACACATATTGTCAAGTGAACAAAGGCAGTAAATTACATATTGCAAATTACACTTGGAAATTTACGAAAATTACAAAACAATAGTTCAGAAAATACAGATATAGGCCTCTAAACTGCGTTATTCACGCAGTTGAAATATAATGTTAAATACTGCAAAATCGGTCATTACTTGCACATAACATGTTCATTATAAATGATTTCTTAAATTTTGAATATTTTCACTTGTCTTCATTTCATTATTTTTTCTTACTATTGCTTTTCTTGAAATATTGTGGCTCACCTGGAGGCTTGCAGTCCAAATTTAGGTATTGACGATGTCATTTACTTTACCAAAGCATAAGACAGTTTCTAATGCAATAAATATCTGATTCTCTTATTTTTATTTTCAGTTTGAGGTTTTGAATATTTTGAAAGACATCACTTGTGACTTTTATTGGATTTCGTCGGAAGAAAAAGTGAGAAGTTCTGAAAGCTATGGCGTTATTTCCGGCAAACAACACGTCTTTAGTTCTAGAAGAATATATTACTAATACTACTTTATCATTCCAAATAAATGAAAATCTCGTGGTGTTACTTCCGCACAGTTTAGTGTATTTCTATCATTTCTGTGTCACATACGTTACGTTTATAATATGGATAATTGCTTTCCCTTCAAATATCTTAATTATCATTATTTTGACTAAAAAGAAACAAATTTCGTCATCAACTTGCGTGTACTTCCTGTCTTTAGCGTGTGGTGACTTATGCGTCAATTTCCGAACGCTAAATTTCTGGCTGGTAAGGTCAAAGCTGGTAACGTACACAACGGACTTTGAATGTCAAATAGAGAAAGGGTATCCACTACTTGGAATGCTTGCGTCGTCGTGGACACTGGCTACAATATCATCGGAACGAATGCTCTGTGTTGCGATACCGTATAAAATGAAAGATGTGTGCACAACGACCCTTGCAAGGGCAGTTGTGATTGTTATATGGAGTATTTCTTTAATCATAGCTATTATGAATGGATGGTTTTATCGAAGGGGCATTACTGCCTGTGACCTTAAATATGACCATCGTGACATTTTTATAAATCACATCGCTTACCTGGATTATTTTCTTGATGTCGTCATTCCGTTTTTCATCATTTTAGTCAATTCAGTTATAACACTTATTCGGCTTCGGTATTGGAAAACAAACACTCATACAGGCCCAAATGCTTTTGGAAAATCGGTGACAGTTTTAGTGCTTTGTGTAAACACAATATTTTTTATAACACAAGTACCATACGGTATTGTGTTCCTAGTACAACGCGCGACGGCCGATTCGGCGTCTGAACTTCGTATGTTATACTTACACTATCTGGAAGGTATACTGCTAGTTCTCAAATATGTTAATTATTCCGTAAATTTTTATATCTACTTTCTGACCGCTTCAAAATTTAGGAAAGAAACTCGAGATGTTTTACTTTTGTGTAAAAATCGAGTTTTAACACTGTGTTCAAGATCGAAGTGCTGCCAACAATAGACATACAAATATAGAGAAAATGCTGTTTTCGTGAAGTAAAGAACGTTTGATTATGTATTTCGTAACATGTTCGCTGGATGTCATGAAAATGCATTGTAAAGAAGTGGTCAATCATTTGTTGAATAAAGTAATTAGAGCGAATATTCTTAGAAAGAAAATTTAAAAACATTAAGCCTTGACTATAAAGTATAGAATATGCTTATTTTGCAGTTTTCATTCAGTAAAGCTATGCATTTATAATCACTGAAGCAGTACACGAAACAATAGAAAGAAATAAAGCATTATTACAAAGCGATGTAGAAATCAGACCCCGTGTCTACTGCTTCAAGTATACACTTCTTTTTCAAATATTATCAGTGTAATTATTTCTATTAGATCGTTTAACCATTTATTAGTTTTAAGTTGAACTCTTTCCGGCGAAAATCTTGCCATTTCGATTATATTTTCGCAACAAACGGCTTGTAACTAATATAATAATATTAATCAATACATGTATATAAATCAATGAATGATGTCAACAAGTACAGAACATATTAGAATCGGCACCTTTATTACACCAATTGATCAAGTATGTTTAAAGCAAAAAAGAAACCTAAGAATGTCGATACTTCATTTGCTAAAAAGACTAAAATGATAATGTTGACAGAAGTGAAATAATTTAATGCATTAAATAATTCCTTTGATAGGATTTACAATAAGACAACAAGCCAATATTAAGAAATTACATACGGATTTTGGGTCATGTGCGAGGTACAGGATCCATTATCACATATATCTATATAGCAGATAATATAATGTTCTTGGACAAACATCATTATTTATCACTTTAATGTTCATAGTAAATCAATAAGAACTTTATTAACATTATTTACTTCAAGCAATATTTTATAAGAAATAAAAAATGTCCAAATAATACATTTCTTTTGTTTTTATCAATGTTTGAAATACTTATGAAAAATGTGCCTATTGTAGACAAATTCAGTAATTCCATCATTCAGCAAGAATAAGGAAAAACATTATTACAACTTTTCTTTATACCTGTTCATGTTCTGTAATTTATACTGCAACTAGTTAATCAATCTGACAAAAGTTATGTGTCTTTCAATGATCTACAAAATCTCTGCATTTATCAAAATGTAAAAAGTTGCAATCTGGTTAGTTGTTTTCTACGTCCCAAAATAATGCCAACATTTTTCACAGAAAACTTGACATTTACTTTGATAAAAATATATCTGCCTCGACAGAAGATTATTATTCAGATTAAAGACTAAATAAATACATTGTGTAATATATATTTTCAGACTTTAAATAAAATCAGATAATGTTCATTTACTGGCAGTGAACATTTATCACCTTTACACTCTATGTCTAAGTCTATTTGGTTTACATTACATTTCCAAAACGTTCCGTGAATGCTTGCCTCGAAATAATAGTTGTATGGTTCTTTTTATGAAATAGCACTTACGTGTTATACATTGATGGTTTCATGTACACATATGCGGAACTTCAAACTTCACCATTTACATGTTTACTCGTTAAATACTGCTTAAGCATGAATGGTAGTTTGCACTTTCCAGTGCCGTCCATGAACAGGCTCAATCAAACAACAACTGCAACAGATTCAATTTTACCGGGATTTAGTAATTTTATATTTCAAAAGTTTAATACAAAATATGTGATATATATTATTTAATATGCACCTGTATTATAAGCGCTAGATTTTAATGAAAAATGTCTGACTACACATGTTGCTCTAATATAGATCATTGATGGAATTGGTTTCATTGTTTACTGTAAAGTGTGTATTGTTTAACTAACAAAATACCATTAGCTGAAAAAATTTGAAATAATATATATTGCATTTAGGGATGTAACTACATGTACTCTGTTGTAAGCCTTGCAAATTAGGCAGGCTCCGTGGAGAGCAAAACCCTTGAAGAACAAAACTTTCTTTTATTGTATCTCATATTCCCCATTCAACATATGGTATTGGTATGGTTGCAAAAATAGCCTGTAGAGTTATTGTTTTTCAATAATATTTTTACAATGTTAACCTTTGCTAATATTCTATAACATGAAGCATTTCGTTTTATTTGAATATATAGATGTGTGAAGTAAGCGGCCTAGCAGCTCAGCGGCCTAGCGGCGTTAGGCCGCCATCTTCACACATCTTAAAAATATTGAAAAAAATAATCACACTTCTAAATTCAGACAAAATACCTCGAAAATAGATTTTGAATACTAACAAGGAATATCAATATTAAATCACTTCACAGCTGTTATATTTTTCTGGTTCTCCGTGATCATTGATTGTGGCACATTGCCGATTGACAAACGCTTTAGCCGGTGCTAAGGGGCATGCGAATTTTGCACTTTTCCATAATCTCTCACGAAGAGACTGTATCAAACCGAGTCTGCAAATGTCATATATTTTTGTCGTTTTTTATATTTTCAGATGTATATCACTTTTCTTTTTTTCAAATAACTATTGGCAACACAATTAGCTATTTCCTTTAAAACAAAATACCCAAATATCTTAAATTAAGCATTGGGATTTAGTAATATTGTTCTCAAATGTTTTTATTTTCGATAAAATAAACCCATTTCGATTATTAAATAAACTGGGCAGTATTTGAAATTAAAACAGCATTTAGCAATTATTGTAGATTTAGTCCCCTGTGTAAATGTTTTTGAAATGTTGCAAAGCAAGCATGCCTTTTTGATTGTATAACGGAAATGTTTATACTGCTGTTGTTTTTTCCCCTGGATTACGATGCAATTTTTGTTTACTTACGCAACTGAAACTGGATTCCATAAACATCTTTGCGCTTGTACCAAACATACAGCGAATAAGATTAATAGATGAATATAATAATTTAACGTTTTATAAACGACATTTAAATAGACAGATAACTCAAAGTAAATAAATATAAAAACGCTTTATCGTAAATATCTGGAAAAAAGTGATCCTTTGGAAGCATAAGAAACAGCAAAATTACATGAAAATTGCAGACTCCGTTCTGCACATGAGAGATAATGAAAACGCGCAACATCCATTACGCCCCCTAGCAGTGGCTTGAGCGGTTCTCAATTCTCAACACTTAAAATTGCTGGACTCAATGATCCCGATAGGCTAAAAATATAACAACACTGAAGTGCGTGGCAACTTTTTACGGCTGCGACACAGCTTGACACTTGCCGTTGTGATGTATAAAAATCTGGAAAGAAATGATTTACCGGAAGCATTTAAACGGCAAAATTTAACGAAAATTACAGACTCGGTTTGATTGAGTCTGTATATGAGTGATCATGAACAAACGCAACATCCCTCACGCCCCATTGTACCGGCTGAAGAGGTACTCAATTCTCAACTATTAAAAGTACTAGACTCAATGATCCCGAAGAACCAGAACAAATATAAAATCACAGAAGTGAAATTAGGGGCAACTTTTTACTGCTACTTACGGAAATAAACGTACTGCTTAAATATTATTGAAACACATTTGGAAATATCTTCCAATGGAATCTCTATTCATAAAACTGTTTTACTTAAAGAAGCAATTCATAAGGGGTTTATTTTCATGAAAAATAATGGATACAATTTGAAATCACAGACAGTTATGATTGTAAGCCACACAGGTCCTGTTTTTACCTGCATGATGATTTAGTGATATGTAAATCAAGCAATTTACTTAAGTGATAGCAATGTAATATATCAGGTAATGCTCTTAGCTTGACGCACATTTGCTTATTGTTGACAATTAACGATTCACCGATGTTTAACCAGATGTTTAGATTTTCTAGGTAAGTAAGTAGGTAGAAATGATATACGCCGAGTAAATTCTTGGTGAAAAAAAAATTGTAGCATAATAATCTATAACATAATATTCAATAGTTTTTGTAATTGCACAAGAGCGATTAAAAGAAATGAGTAATTGACAGAAACAGTAAAGTACTACACAATATCTGAATGTATTCTTACCTGGAGACCATACTTTTTACGGAAAGGCACATTTAAGGTTCTATAATAACACATCAAAACATGTTTTTTATTCAACATTTCACTATTGTCGTGCTTAAATGTTCAATTCTACTTAAGCCGGTGCTAGAGGGACTGGACGGTAACATACACTTTTCAGTTTGGTCCATTAACAGCCTCAATCAAACCAAGCCTGCAATATCTTCAGTTTTTGCGTTTTGGGCGTAATTTAGGAATTAAGTTCTTCTATGTTTCCTTAGTTTGTGACCGCACATCAATCTACGGTCTCAGAATATATGTGACTAATTACAGATTTCATTAACCCGTTACGACAAGCACATTTAAACTAGACTTTTCTCTCCGAATCTAAAGGAGGACAAATCCATTTAACAAAGTCAACGGCATTTTTATACGTTACACTGTTGGATGTTTTTCATAAGGAGTTTTAGTAACTTAGAATAATTTCAGTTAAGAAGTTTAAACAGAATGGACAGTTGTTCACTATGATAGAGTAATGGGTGTGACCTTTATTTTTGTTAAATGTTTTAATTGTTATTATTGTAAATGTTATAATCATCGCAGTTGTATTATCAAAGGTATTGTGTACCATGTAGATCATGTCTTTTGCATTATAAACTGTTATGGCAGATATTACCTATACGTATATTTGAATCATATATGATTAACAAAAATGATCAATTTGTATTAATCACGAAGATGCATCGGATTGTAAGTTATGTGTAAATAATAATTCAATATTTCTTATTAAACAGGAAAACATTGAATTCAATAAAGTTAGCATAGCCTTATTTAAATGTGTTTTTCGTTCTATTTTCTGTTTCATTTATACAACTGGAGATACGGGGTTTCGCTTACTTTCGACATGTATACCAATAATTAACAACACGATGGTGTAACTGTAAAACTTGTTTGAACTCTCGTATTTCCTGCGAAAACGCACAATGTTCTTCATTCCGAAGTATGTCTATTCATAAATTGCATGTTTTGGCTTTCAAAGAGCTGCAATTATAACATCTTTAACAATTATAAGTAATTATTTTTATGCTGTTTTTGACATCTTGGAATTGTGCAAATTTTACTTTCGATAGCAAAAACTCAGGTTTTACCTTTGTTTCAAGAAAATCTTCTGTTCAGCAAGCAAAAAATAAGGAAGATACATTCCAACAAGCAAACAAACAAACAAACAAACAAACAAATAAACAATAAATAAATTAAAAATAAATAAATACATGAATAAACGCCATTGCATGAACAATCAGATAATTTGTCTATCGTCAAAGTTTTACAACTCGATCGCAATTTGATGTTGCCAAAATCCCCTGTCAAAATCCATTGCTTTACGAGTTATTTTCGGACATAAATCTCTATGAAATCGTTACAGTTGTTATTAACAAATACCGAAATATGATAAGAAGATCAGAGAGAGTGTGAATTTAGACAATGTAAAAATCATTTTTGTTTATAAAATATGTTATCGGCTATTTAGGTATAAAACTACTAAATATCATAATTGAATCTAGGCAAAAGAGAACAATCGTCACAATTCAAAGTGAAAGGGGTTGTTTTTTATTTACTTGCAATGTCTTTTGTTTTGTATGACATACAATTTTGCTAAGAGTGCTTAACGTAAGACGGTAACTTGCACTTTACAGTACCGTCCATGAACAGGCTCAATCAAACCGAGCCTGCAACATTTTCAATTTTGTTGTGTTGGACTTTCTTTAGGGATTATGTTTTTCTCTATTTTAATGTGAATCGTTTGAAGTCTTATCACGTACACTATGTAATAGAAACGTATTAAAACATATCCTTCAAAATTTCTTCAGAAATTATTTCATAAACAAAATACTACAATGTAACAGGTAAATATGCATTACAGATATTCATAGGTTTAAAATATGCTCTATCGTAAAGATAACTGAGAGAAATGCCAGACTGAGTTAGTTGAAACTTGTTTTAAAATATCTCGAATTGCGATCTTTCTAAAATTTTGAATACTTGTTTGTTTAAGTATGCGTGCCTGCGATGGCGAGTCTATGTGCGTGTGTATGTCTGTAATGTTTAAGAATTGTATTAATTATTAAGGATGAAACAATTTAAAACAAATGACTTATGTTAATGTAGCCGAGAAACTACTATTAGTAAAGTCTTTTGTCTCGAAATTTATAAGTTAGAGATACTTGCATGTTTAATGTCATTCATATTTTTTGTCTCTAAACCATTTACTTTGTCAAGCCTAGTTTTGTTTTGTTTTTTTAACTAGCAACATTTTCAAGATTCCCAAACGTTAAGTGATTACTATCCAATAAGATTCTTCAGATGTTAAACATAATATACAAGTATATCGTGATATTTGCAAATTTATAGACCAAAATTTGATCAATCAAAGTCATAAGCTTATGAATTATACATAATATAAGATGTGTTGAATATTTAAGACGAACACGCTGGCTTAATACGTTTGAAAGTTAAAGAATGTAATGTTACAATTTGTGAGTCTGATCAGCAATAAAAATGTCTTTGCATTATATCTAATATGGCTGTGAAAATATATTTGTTAAATACAATGTTACAGTCTCTGTATCGACAATTTTCTTCTTTAAAAGTAAATAATGTTAAGTTCCTTACGCACAAAAATACAATTCATATCATCTTTAAGTTTAATACTGTTCTAATCACAATGTAAGGGAGATGGGAAATGTCTAAAAATACATACTCATAAATCATATACTGGGAAGTTTTTAAATTTAACTTTAATTTTGACGTTAAGTTATATAATGGCTCATTCCTTGATCTATATGTCTTTACATATTATCCTTGCTATCCCTTGCTATCATAAGTTATGAAATATACTGTGTAAATACCATACTAGTGTCTTATATTTCAAAATTATTAAGCAAGGCTAAGAAAAATATAAGGGCCAGGCTGTGTCAAGCCTGATAAATTTTATAACATCAGACACTTGTTTCGTATTATACTTATTATGCTTGCAATTTTAAAATGCGTTTTTTCTTAACTTTTAAATGAAACAAATCCTGTCAAGAAACAGTCGAGTTTTTGCCGTGCGCAGTAATATTTCAAGGGTCATTTCTTAAAGAAATAGTCCCAAATGTTTTTAGACAAATGTAAGAGAGACTTTAAACACAAACTGTATTCGATTCAAAGTTTATCAGATTAATATTTTCAAACTAGTCAGAGGTAAAATATTCTATTCTCTACATTTTATTTCAATATGTATTGATGAGATGTATGATAAAGCTGAGGGTGACTGACAAAGCTAGATTTATCAAGCATGCACGTGCACTTTATCAACGGAAATCAATTTTCAGACGTGATAAATCATAAACACAATGTACATACTTTATAATATATTTACTATTACCAATACTGTTCACATCATCGTGTTGTACATGAAGTTTAGAAAGCATGTTATCTGTTCTGTTCTCATACTTTTTAAGTTCTGTGTTGTTTAATGCTATAACTATGAGGTGAAACTAAGTCAATAGCATGGAAATGATTAATTCAAATATCATAAATGATTACTACTAATCAAACTGACGTCCCATGCACGATTTGCACTCCCATCTCTCAACCAATGACTCAAACACGTGTTGTAGCCCGTCACGTGACATCCCCGCAGCTGTCTGTCCACAGCACACCTCAGTTCCTCTCTTGACTCAAATTTCGTACCACGAAGACTGTTTTTCTTAATGTTGGAAACAGCCCGAAGTCACAAATTGCTAGGTCCGGGCTGTAGGGTGGGTGTGGTAACAGTTCTAAGTCAAGTTTTTAGTGTATCCATAACAAAGTGGCTTGAATGGTTCGGCGTGTTGTCGTGATGTAATATGAATCCGAACCTAAATGTAAGCCATTCATAAACAATATTTTGATTCTATTTCTTTTTGGTAATTAGTACAGTTAAACTGATTTAATATTGTGTATGGAAGTAAAACTGCTACTTTGTTTGTATTTTCTACTTTAATGTCAAATACGTAATTTCACATTCAGCCCTTCTTTTTTCAGATGGTAAACATCTAACATGTTCTAAACCATTATTTAAGCAGACTCCACCACTGAGAGTTTTGACATTACGGGATGCCAAACTTGAAATATCTTCCAGAGGTTTGAATTCTGGTTGATATAGGTAGAACTTATAATGTGTGGTCATTCCTTCCACCTGTTTATTCCAGAATAATCTTTTTTTATTGTGCAAAATGACCCAGAGATGGATATCGTTGCAACGTTTTTGCTCAAATCAGACCAAGACTACCACACACAAAACCTACATTCAATTTAATCCTTGGTATTTTTCTATATTATTCTTTGCAAGGTTTTCTATTTTATGTGTTTCATTGATTTATGTAAGTATTTCGATTTTAATGTTTGTAAGGGTTTTTGACCTTAGTGGAGTCCTTGACATGTTACAAAACGTATGTTTTAAATTATAAGGAATATAATAGGTATTTGTTTCTGAGCTCTACTGTGCCTTTAAATTGTTTGTTATACCTATATGTTATATAAAAAATCATATTCAAATCTACCAGACTTATCTTTTAAACAACATGAGTCAATGCCATTTTCACACCACCTGTTTTGTTATAAATCATTTTTGATTAATAAGTTAAGTTTCTAACTGTCCACACCGCAATACATTAATCTTAGAAATTTTCAAGAAAAGATTGCATCTTAAACATGAGAATACATAGCTGTTGATTGCAGCAAACACGAGTATTGTTTATATCTGTATGTGTATGATATGATAACAGAAAGACCTGGCTCTTTTATAATAGCATTGGCTTGTATGAAAAATAGACATGCCTGGTTCTGATACAATAGCATTGACTTGTATGATAAATAGACAGGTCTGGTTCTATATTGATAATTTTAACCATTGATTGTAATTGTTGACACATATTCGTTAATCTTTTAATTTTTATTCGAAGATTGCACATTTTTTTCACAAAAGCATGTTCTAATACAACAACATCATCATCAACAACAATAACAATAACAACAGCAATAAAATAAAATAACACAAAATCTTATGATATATACGTTTGGACCTCAGTAGAAATGATGTTCCTTCAAGATTGTAAATAAATTAAAAAAGAAAACATCATAAGGGTTGTAAGAAATAGACAGAGAAATTATGCGATAATGAAATAAAGATTGGTCGGCAACATTTATAATAAATAGCATGTTTAATTTTGATAATGAATATGCATGGCTCATATATATTCACGTTCACAGCTATTAAGTGGGGTACATATGATTTTTGCCTTTATGTCAAGGAGTTACCACTCTTTCTTACGTGTCTTTATATGCTTACGTGTTTTTTTTCTAATCATAATATCACCATTATTCTTATCAAATATATACATGTATCAAAATTTAATCAAAATATCACCATTATCCTTATCATATATGTACAAGTATCACAATATAATCAAAATAGTACCATTATTCTTATCATATATATACACGTTTCAAAATATAATCAAAATATCACCATTATTCTTATCTTTATAACATACAAGCATCAAAATATAATCAAAATATCACCATTATTCTTATCATATATATGCAAGTATTAAAATATTATGTTTGCAATTTTTAAATGCCTTTTTTGTTAACTTTTAAATGAAACAAATCCTGTCAATAAACATTCGAGTTTTTGCCGTGCGCAGTAATATTTCAAGGGTCATTTCTTAAAGAAATAGACCCAAATGTTTTTAGACAAAATTAATGTAAGAGAGACTTTAAACACAAACTGT